TGGTTTTTCTCCGGTACCGGGAACCGAACTCACGACCTTGCACTTGCCAGGCAGGTGCTTTTGCCACTGAGCTAAATCCCAGCCCCTTCCTTCAGAACTTTATTACAAAATAGCTTTTTTGTTCCTCCATACCTAGAGCCATAAAGATACCTATATTTGAAAGCTTTTGAGAAAATTTACATGTATTTTGTAAAGGAAGTTCTTAAATTTCATTTTGAAATGGCAGGATAGCTTTACCCAGCACTTCCTGTGTCCTCTAGAACCAGTTCAAAGTAATGAATGTTCAAAAATGTCAGGATGACTTCCTTATTTATGTTTTCACAATCAAAAGAAGTTAAATTTAGGGCCAGGCGTGGTGGCGCACGCCTGTAATTCCAGCACTCGAGAGGCTGGGGCAGGAGGATCGTTGCTAGTTCAGGTCCAGCCTGGGCTACAAAGTGAGCTCAAGGCCAGCCTGAACTGTATGGTGAGACCCTGTCTCAAAAAGACAGAAAAAAAAAAAAGAAGAAGAAGAAGTTAAACTTAGTTGGATATGGTGGCATTTAGCTCGGTGTGGTGGTTGCAGCCCAACATTCTGGTGGGCTGAGGTACGAGGATCCCAAGAATAGCCCAGCCTGGGCAACTTATCAAGGCCCTGCCTCAAGATAAAAAAATAAAATAAAATAAATTTTAAAGTGGACTGAGGAGTAGGACTCAGTGCAGAAGCCTTGGGTTCGAACCCCAATACCATAAAAAAAGTTTAAATTTATTGATGTACCACTTTGAATATCTGGAACCCATTAATCCCTGCATTTCCTTTTTTTTTTTTTTTTTTTTTGAGACGAGGCTTCACAGTGTAGCCTAGGCTTGTCTTGAATTAGTTATGTAGCCCATGCTGGCCTCATACTCAACACTCCTCCTCCCTCAGCCTTCTGAGTGCTGGGATTACAAGTGTATACTACCATGCCTGGCTCTCTTCTGTTTTTAATGGGCTATTCATAAATGTTTCTGTTTTTTACTGCTGTATAATAATTTATTATATAGGTAGATGTACCATGACTTATTAGCGAGTACCCTGTTGGTAAAGATTTATGTTGTTTTCTTATCTTTCAAACACTTCTGCAATAAGTAACTTTGTGCGTGTCACTGTAGAAGTGTAAAGTCCTAGAAACACTGCTGAGTGAAAGGATATATTATTTGTAATGTGACTGGATTTTTTCTAATTCTTAACTGTGTTCATGTATACTGCCAGGAGAAAGGTGTTTCTCAAATAATTCACAAATTTAGTGTGTTACCAAATTTATGGATTTTAAAAAAATAAAATGATAGTAGAAAATAGTATGAATTTATAAGTCTTAAGCATAGAACATACTTTTGAGATTTTTCATAAGCAATATATTTTCCTTGATTTTATGGTACTGGGGATTAAAACAAGACCTGGAGCATCATAGGCAGGTGTTTTACCAGTCCTTTTTTTTATGTTGTTTTTTTGTTTTTTGAGACAGTGTCTTACCGTATGATTCAGGCTGGTCTTGACCTCACTATGTAGCCCAGGCTGGACCTGGTGGCACACGCGTGTAATCCTAGCACTGGCCTATAATCCCAGCACTCGGGAGGCTGAGGCAGGAGGATCGCTGTGAGTTCAAGGCCAGCCTGAACAGTGAGACCCTGTCTCAAAAAGGCAAAAAAGAAAAAACCCAAAACAAACAACAACAAAAAGCTATGTAGCCCAGACTGGCCTTGAACTTTTTATCCTCTTGCCTCAGCCTCACAGGTAGCTTAGGTTGTGGACATGCACCCTCATTCCCAGCTCCTAGATAATTTTTAATTCTTGTTTGTTCAGTCTGAGTAAGGGACATTAGATAGCTGATATCTTTGTGAGCTTATATTACTTCCAATATATACTCATAAGACTTCTAGAAGTTCTAAGTGAAGGCAGGTTGTGGGATTTCAGACTTTCACAATAAAACATGACACAGACTGATACCCTATCTTGTTGTGTAGGAAACATTCAGCAATAAATACATGTCGTTTATCTTAATCCTCCATTAAATTTAGACATCTTTTCTCCTTTTAAAAGTCATGGTAAATCTATGCAACATAAAATTTGCCATTTTGACCATTTTTAAGTGTATGGTAACATTGGATGTATCCACACTGTTGTGCAACCATTACCACCATCCCTCTCCAGAACTTTTTCATGTTCTCAGACAAAATCTATCAACGAAAGGGTAACTCCCCGTCCTCCCTTGTCCCAGCCCCTGACAGCCACCATCCTCTATAAGCTTGACTACCATGGAAACCTCTCATGAGTAGAATCATACAATGTTTGTCTTCTTTTTTGCTTTGTTTGAGACAGGGTTTCACTGTGTAGTCAGGCCAGCCTTGAATTTGCTATGTGGTCCAAGCTGCCTCCAACAATTAGGTCTCCCTGCCTAATTCTCCCAAGTGCTGGGATTTCAGGCATGCACCACCACAAATGGCGTTGTTTGTCTTTTTATGTCTGGTTTATTCACATAGCATAATAGTCTTCAGAGTTCATCTTCGTTATGGTATGTGTCTGAAAAAGGAATTTAAAGTTTCAATTAAAAAAATTCATTCCTTTTTACAATAAAACTCCATTGTGTATATATATGTGTATAGGGCTATTTTGTTTATCCATTGATGGGTATTTATCTTTTTCTTTTGAAAAGGTTGTTAAATAAAGTTCTATTTTATATTAAATGGGTTTTTTCTTTCATTTATTCAGACAGATTCTTTCAAAATGGGACAAGATTTTGTGAAACGCTTCCCTAGCAGTGCAGACAAGTTGGTTTCCAGGAGTTTAAATTTAGATATGACAAACCAAGTTGTGTCCCAACAACCTGCTGAGTGCCAAACTTCTAGTAAAACATCTCTCAGTGCTACATCAGAAGGACTCTTGTTGCAAGATGCCTCTAAGATAGACTGCCTGAATCAAACACTTTCAACCAACAAAAGTAATTACACAAGTTACAACCCTCAGTCATACCAGGTCGTCAGCAAAGAACAAAGAAGAAACAATCTTCAAAAAGAATCTTTAATATTTATGAAAGGCGTCATGGATGAATGTACTCATGTAGCAAATTTCTCAGGTACTAATTTTTGTATGTAATTGAGAATATTTGCTAGTGTAAATGTTTGTGAAATATTTTAAAGGTGCTTTACAAAATAATTTCATGTTTTAGAGGGAATATTTTTTGTTAGGTCCAGACTGTGTTTTCCAAGATAAACTGGTCATTTTAATGTATCATATTTTATCCATGAAAACCTTCCTATGCCATTTTTTTTTTTTTTTTTTTTTTAAGACGGGAATCTTGCTGTGTATTTTAGGCCGGTCTTTAATTCACTTTGTAGTCCAGCCTGGCCTCGAACTCACAGCGGTCCTCCTGCCTCAATCTCCTAAGTGCTATGATTACAGGCATTTGCCACCATGCCTAGCCATCTTACTCCTTTAAAAATACATTGGAGGGGATGGGGTATAGCTTAGTGGTAGAGCGTGTGTTTAGCATGCACAAAGTCCAGGGTTCAATCCTCACACCAAAAAATAACAGTGATAAATAAAAATACACTGAATCTTGTATCTTTAGAATAGTCATCTTATATTAAGGGTGAATATTATAATATGGTATATTATGTTTAATACTTAAGAGTTTGACAAATGTTTCACTTATAGCACTATATTATATAGTGTATTTTCTAATATGACTTAATGATATTTGTCTAAAATCTTAGACCTTTTTGCCAGGCATGGTGGTGCCTGCCTATAATCCTGGCAATCGGGAGGCTGAGGCAGGAGGATTCTTGTGAGTTCACTTTGGGCTACAAAGTGAATCCAAGGCCAGCCTGAACTACATAGTGAGACCCTGTCTCAAAAAGACAAAAAAAAATAAAATAGATAAAATCTTAGACCTTTTTAATGTGTAAAAATCCCATTCTTAGTTCCAGTTGACCCAAGCCTCATTATAGTGGTGCAAGCCAAAGAAGATGCGTATATTCCACGAACAGGAGTTCGAAGTCTACAAGAAATTTGGCCTGGTTGTGAAATCCGCTATCTAGAAGGGGGTCATATTAGCGCTTACCTTTTTAAACAGGGACTCTTCAGGTAAGATGATTTGTCTAATCAGGTATTTGCTTGTTTGTTTTTCTTTTCCCTCAACATGTAGGAAAGATTAGGCATTTTTATTGCATGTCTTAGTCCTTTTATTTTCTTCTTGCCTTCCACAAATCTCCCAATAAGATTGCCCACCTTTCCTACCTTGCCCCTTCTTTTCCTTCTAGAAAACCAGGGATGCAGGTTGTCCTAGGCATGTTTTACCAGGTGCTTTTACCCTCTTCAGGCACTAATGGCCGGGTGGCTTAGGGTGTGTGGAGGAACACTGGTGTGTAGAAGTTGCTTGGTGCCTGGGTAGGTTTTTCCCTACACTCATGTTTTCTCAGAATGACCCAAGTCTCTGTCAGATAATACAGCAGTGCTTTTTCATTAGCAAGTAAGTAGTGAATTTTATTTTTATCTTTATTTTTTTAATAGTGAATGTTAATGAGAAGTAAAATAATGATTTACTATTAATGACTTTTAGTATTCTAGTATTGACTCCACTCTTTTTTATTCATTCATCTCTTTTTGTGGCAGGATTGAACCCAGGATCTTACACTGAGTTGTATCTCCAGTTCTTTCTTTATTAATTTGTTCGAAGTACTAGAAATTGAACCCAGGAAGCACTGAGCTACTTCCCCAGCCCTACCTACGTGTCTGTCTATATTTTATTTTATTTTGATACAAGGTCTTGCTAAGTTGTACAGGTTAGCTTTGAACTTTAAACCCTTCTGCCCCAGCCTTCCAAATACCTGAGATTACGGGCATGTACCACTATGCTCTACAACTCCACTATTTCAGTTAGAACTTATAAAAACTTTTATAACTCTAATTATCTTATATCTTCCATAATTTTTACTTCTATCCATACTTGATCATAAAAAGGCATCATTGAAATACACTTACCAGCTGGGCATAGTGGTACACACCTGTAATCCCAACACTTGAGGGGCTGAGGCAGCAGGAATGCCACAACTTCGAGGCCAGCCTGGACTATATAATAGGACCCTGTATCAGAAAACAAACAAAGCCCAAAAACCTAATGGTCCTAGGTGTGATGGCATAGGCCTGTAATCCCAGCACTGGGGAGGCTGACACAGCAGGGTTGCTGTGAGTTCGGGGCCAGTCTGGGCTACATAAGTGAGTTCAAGGCCAGCCTGCACTTCATCTCCAAAAAAAAAAAAAAAAAAAAAAAAAAACCCTACTGGGGTTTCAATGACATTAGAATAGTAGAACTTTGAAAACTTCAGTCTTTTCATTCACCAAATAGAAAACAAGTCACTCTTATATGTACCTCAGTATTTTGTATTATTTAGAGCTGGTTGTAATACAAGTAAATTTTTTTTGGAGACAGAATCCTACTATATAGTGCAGGCTGGCCTAGAACTCATGGCATTGGATCAGCCTGCCAAGTACTGGGATTATAGGCATGTGCCACCACACTGGGCAGAGGAACTTTTTTTCCCCTGGTTTTTTGAGACATGGTCTTGCTACCTTAGTTAGCCCAGGCTGGCCTCAGACTCTCGAAGATCCTCTTGCCTCAGCCTCCCTAGTGCTGGGATTACAGGTATGTGCCATCAGACACAGCAGAGAAACAAATTCCTGAGACAAAGAAATAAAAGCTTGTTAGAAAGCTATGTCTCCTCAAGTGTGATGGTGCATACCTGTAATCCCAGCACTTGGGAGGCTGAGGCAGGAAAATCGCCATGAGTTCGAGGCTGGTCTGCACTACACAGTGAGACTTCGTCTCTATTTTTTTTTTTTTTTTTTTTTGAGACAGGTTCTTGCTGTGCAGTTTAGGCTGGCCTTGAGCTCACTTTGTAGCCCAGGCTGGTGTCGAACTCCCAATGATCCTCCTGCTTCAGCCTCCCCAAGTGCTGGGATTATAGGCCTATGCCACCATGCCCGACAAGACTCTGTCTCTAAAGAGCAAAAAAACCACAAAAGAACAAAGCTACTTCTTCCTTAACATAATGAAAATCATAACCTATTAGCTAGCTCTTAATTTTAAAAATAATCCTTAAACCGGGCCTGGTAGCACATGCCTGTAATCCCAGCAGTCAGGAGGCTGAGGCAGGAGGATCGTTGTGAGTTCGAGACCAGCCTGGGCTACAAAGTGAGCTCAAGGCCAGCCTGAACTGCATAGCGAGACTTGTCTCAAAAAAGACAAAAAAAAAACCTTAATATTTTTGTTAGGATATGGGGAAATGCTTAAACAAGTAGGATGTAAGATTAATATGCCATAGTTTGTATTTATACTGGGTGAAAATATAGACATATGCATTAAGTAAAACAGCTACATGAAAATATTAATAACAGATGCCTTTGAGTAGTAACATTATAATGTCTTTCCCCTTTCCATATTTTTTGATTTTCTGAATGTTTTGTTATATAGTCGCAAAAAAATAGCTTTAAAAATTTTTTTTTTGAGACAGGGTCTTACTGTGTAGTTCAGGCTGGCCTTGAACTCACAACAGTCCTCCTGCCTTGGTGTCCCAAGTGCTGGGATTTTAGGCATGCACCTCTAAACTTGGCACTTTAAAAATATCTTATGAAAGGCAAGAATAGTTTGCTCCTTTCCAATTGAAATACAAAAGTATCCCCCAAAGTTAATGTAGAGAGCCAGTGCTTTTGATTTGAAATTCAGTTGCCAGGCACATGTTCTTATTTTTTTTTTTTTTTTAAGGCATTCTGTGAAATAGATTGAATCCCACAGTCTAAAAGTTACATAATTAATTTTCAGCAAAATGACGGAGATGAGAAGAAATCAGTTCTCTTGTCATTTGTGTGTGTATGCTTTTTATTTTTATTTTTTTATTTTTTGTTGTTGTCGTTTTGAGACAGAGTCTCGCTATACAGATAGTTCAGGCTAGCCCTGAACTCACTTTGTAGCCCAGGCTGCCCTCAGACTTGCAGTGATCCTCCTGCCTCAGCCTCCTGAGTGCAGGGATTACAGGCATGTGCCAGGAGGCCCGATCATGTGTATGCTTCTTATGTATAAAGAAAGTACTTTTAAGAAAAGATACCCCTGGGTTTACCATCCTTTGAAATATTTTTCAGGTTTTCCCCTAGTAGTGAGGTGAGGGAGGTTACATGGATCCAGTCCCCAACATACAATAGTTTTGCCCTTTCTGTAGTTTGGAGAGGAGGTTGGTTTAAAAGCCACATGTTACTTTGGAAAAACAATAAAGGTGTTGTCTGTCTCCCACTCCTTATGCTAACTACTTACAGTTTTTTTTACATTTGATTTTAGACAAGCCATCTATGATGCATTTGAACGCTTCCTTCATAAATACGCTAACTAACAAGGTTGCTGTATCACAGTATAACTGGAGCAGCCATTGTGTTTCTTAGAAAAGGAATTTTCATCCTGTGGTGATGTGAAGAACCAGCAGACAGCACTATAGATCTCATTTCTACCGTTGTAATCTGGAATTCAGTGTTACACATCAGTTATAAACTTTAAATACATATCAGTACTTTCAAAAAATATTTGAATTAAGTAATTTGAAGTTTTTTGCTATTATTTTGTGGGAGTCCCATTATTCAATGTCTAGTCTGTTATTATATTATGAAAACAACATTTTAAATTGAGTAATTTATTAATTTAAAATATTTTATTCATAAAAACTCTCTTGGTTTTTAATAGACTTTCTAAAACAAAGATTGTAATATATCAGCCTGTACTGTATATGACATTTCTGCTAACTTGATGTGAGAAATACGTGTACTTTTTTGGATGCATGGGGAATTTATAATCTTGTTTTTCAATTGTCACTAATTTTCTGCCATAGAATTACTTATGTATAAAATCACTGTTAAATTTGCATTCTAAAAATCTTGACGGCATTGTAGATAAGTGCTTTTAATAATTAAAATGAATGTTGAACTGTAGATAAGATGAATTAGACTAGGCCAGACTTTAAATTTTTACTAAAAATTAGAGTTCTAAAAGTGCCAAACATTTCTCTTACTTGAAAAAGTTCAAGTCATGAAAAATGGAAATAATAGTAGATCCATTGCATTGACCAATGGTTCTACTATCTAACATCTGTATCTAACATTTTCCTGTCTACAGTACTTACTCTTCAGTGTGCCAAGTATCTGACTTTAGCTCAAGTACTTTACAGTTTTGCCTTTTTAATTTGAGAATACCACAAATGAAATTGACTGCTCAGACTGGTGTGACGGTGAATGCCTGTAATCCCAGCATTTGAGAAGTCGAGGCAAGAGGATCGCAGTAAGTTCAAGGCCAGCCTGGGCTACATAGTGAGTTCAAGGCCGCATGAACTACAAAGCAAGACTCTGTCTCAAAAAAACAAGAGAGAAAAGAAACTGAATTGTCCCATACAGACTTTTACAGAAAGATGTTAAGTTTTATATACCACCTATAACTTTTTAAAATGGGGGCTTAAATGGCTAAATTTGGTGCTTTGTTTTTTCAGGCTTTTTCATTATCTTTTTTTTTTTGAGACAGGGTCTCTCTATGTTGTCTGGTCTGGCTTCACATTTCTGATCCTCCTCCCTCAGCCTCCCAAGTGCTGGGATAAGTATGTCCTACCATACCCAGCTCTTACTGCTTTCTTTTTATGTTAAAGTCCAGCTGAGAGCTAAAATGTTAAAGAAAAAAAGAAAATATGTTTAGGTATTATGTAGAGGTTTGGAATAAGTGTCTTTGAGGTTTTTTTTTTTAACCTGCATTGTCCATAAATTATTTTATAGTCTTTGTCTAGTAAGGATAAAAGTGTTTTAAAGTGCCTCTGCAGCCTTTTTTTTCTACAGCGTAATTAAAAATTTTGTAACTTTAATGCCTCCATCTTAATTTCTGTAAACATTTGAAATTAGCTGGGCATGGTGGCACATGCCTGTAATCTCAGCACTGACCAGGCTGAGGCAGGAAGATTGCCATGAGTTCAAGGCCAGCCAGAACTACATATCGAGAAGTGCTGTCTGCAAGGTTTTTACCATTTTGACGGTAAGGTACATGAACATAACTAAAAGTTATTAGACCAGGGTTGTAAATTGGTAGTGTACAAAGGTAGTTTGACTCAGAGATGTTTTACTTGGTATACTTAATGTTTCAGAAGTATATTTAGCTGGGTGTGGTGGCACATGCCCTTAAGCCCAGCATGGGGGAGGCTGAGGCAGGAAAATTGCTGCAAGTTTGAGGTCAGCCTGAACTACATAATGAGACCCTGTGTCAAAAACAAAAAAAGTTTAAATTTGAAAAACCTTGGACGTGGTGGCACATGCCTATAATCCTAGCACTTGGGAGCTGAGGCAGGAGGCTTGCCCTGAGTTCAAGGACAGCCTGGACTGTGTAGCAAGACCCTGTCTCAAAAAACAAAAACAAAAAAAAATGGACAAGTCTTTAGGCTGGGCATGGATTCCCAGGTTTGCCTCTGGACTCTCTCTAGTATCAGATGGCTTTTCCACTTGGTCTTTCCTACTCAGCATTGAAGACATTTAAGTTTGAGACCCCGATTTTGATCTGTTGTGAGGAAAAGTTTGTGAATGTTATGATTTGACAATGTTGTATTACTATTATATCATTTTTAATTAAATCACTTTATCATATGCATTTTAGCTTGTTATGAATGTATCTTTTTAATGTGCTTTCTTACACAGGTTACTGAATTTTTAATACTGTAACTAAAAATTTTTAAGTATTTTAAAATATTTTTCATAATAAAAATCTATTGAAAAAGTTAATTATTCGGGTTTTTTTTAAGAGGCATAATTCCAAATACAGAAAACACATGTTAACATTTGATTAAGGTACCCAAATGAACTGAGTATATTTATTCCTGGTTTTGTTTTGTTTTGTGTTGGAAGAGGTACTGGGATTGAACCCAAGGCTTTTCCCCTTAGTTAATATGCCCATATCGTAAGGTAAAAATAAGAAAGAGATGCCAGGACAGTGGTGGTGAACATATGGCAGATGTGTTGTTATGTTCTTTTAAAAGATGTTAATGCAGTTTTTTCTAAACTAAAACCTCAGTATTCAGGTTTAATTACAGTGTTGGCGCTTTCCAGTAAATAAGTGGCTTTTGGGTTATAGTTTGACACTCAGTCTCTAAAAGGTTAGCAACACTGCTCTAGGAGGACAGTATCCATATCTCAAAGAACGAGATTTCAAAAAATAAGCCAGTCATGGTGGCGCATGCCTGTAATCCCAGCACTTGGAAGGCTGAGACAGGAGGATCACCATGAGTTTGAGGCCATCCTGGAGTACATAGTGAGACCAGTACCACTGTAGAGTCACTGGTTCTCCAATTTTTAGACTGCACAAGAATCCCTAGAACCTTTTACAAATTTCTGGACATTACCACCCAGAGCATTCTCATTCAGTAAAGCCCATGTGGAACCAAGAAATTCGTATTTGTAAAGTTTCCTAGGATACAGATATGGTCTAGGAGTCAGTGTAACAACCACAGCTGCAAGGACACCTAAGTCTCACCCTAGACATTGAGATGAGTAATCTTAAAACTACCCACTCAGGTAACAGTATTTTGCCTAATATATACATATATAACTTTCTTCCTGTGCTAGGGATGGAGCCCAGGCAAGTGTTTGACCACTGAGTTATGGTCCTAGCCATCCCCATGGTAATCCTAATGTGTAGTAAGGTTTAAAAACCATTGTGCTACAAAAGACTCGGGGAAGAGCTGCTGAAGGAAAGGGGAGATGTAAAGTCATGAAGTCAGCATAGGTTTTTGGAAAGGAATTCCCAATACTCTGGGTGTTATCAGCAACTGAGAGGCATTAAAGTAACCAGGAGCCCTTATATTCCTGCTGCTTCTATTTTGTTGAGTAGCTATGTTAGAATAGAATGGGGTAGGGGTGAAATTCAGCAGAGTGTACAGCAGAGCTTCTTCAAACCTTTAACTTCCTTAGTTGGTGTGGTGGCACACACCTATAATCCTAGCACTTGGGAGGCTGAGGCAGGAAGGTTGCCATGAGTTGGAGGCCAGTGTGTCTCAAAAAACCAAACCAAAAAAACTTTAGCTTCATTAACTCATCCAGCTTAGATGAGAGAATATGAACAAGAAATTTAATGTCTATTTAGCTTTCTTCACTCATAAAAATTCTATCTCCCCTTCTTAGTCCCATAGAACTGCTTTTTAAAATGTATATGTAGGGTGAGGATGCAGTTCAGTGGTAGACTGCTTACCTGACATGTACAAGGCCCTTGAGTTCAATTCCTAGCACAGCAGTAACATGGGCTAGGCACAACATGGTGACACAGGCCTGTAATCCCATGTTGTGGTCAAGGTTTACAAGGGAATGGATTTAATACAGGACACATAACTTACAGGATTCAGGATTACTTTGTAATACTCACCCAAAAGTCAAATGCACAGTAGTGCATGAGATCTGTCCATACATTAGAGACCCAAAGAATACAGATGAGGGCCTGGGTTCCATGGCAATGTCCTGCACAAGTCCAGTTGAAGACCTAAAGCCCACGGCAGTGTCCTCCGTGAGTCCAACTGGAGGCCTAGAGCCCATGACAGTGTCTCATGCAAGTCTGTATCAAGGATAGAAGGCCCAAAGGTCAGTGGTGGAAGCTAGAAAGTCTTTGCCAGCAGCACAAATAACCTGTGCCAGCAGGCTGAGGGATCTGCACTGGAGCCGGGAAGCAATGCTCACGGTAAGGACCAGAGCTCCCCTGAAAAGAACTGCAGCCTTCCTCCGTGACAGCAAGGACCTGAGCTCTCCCAACAATGAGAACAGCTGAGTTCGTATCAGGAGAGCTTCTCCAGGAGAATCCACAGCACACCATCTTGCCCTCCAGTTCTCTTTCTATGCTGTTGACAATCAGGTGGGCCTTTCACACCCAGAACCGTGCTGATTGAGTTCAGCTGGATGTTACAAATTGACCACTAGTCCACCACACCCCAGCACTCTGGAGGCTCGGGCAGAAGGATCACTGCCAGTTGAAGGCCAGCCTGGGCTACACAGTGAGTTCAAAGCTGGTGTGAACTGTATAGTGAGACCCTGTCTCAAAAAACAAAACACTTTTTTCAAAACAATTGACATAATGATACTTCAGTATAACTTTCTTTCTAATGTAGCTCTCCCATCCATGTACTAACCAGGCCCAACCCTGCTTAGCTTCCGAGATCAGACAAGATCAGGCGCGTTCAGGGTGGTATGGCTGTAGATTCTAATGTAGGTCTATGAATGAGAAGGATGAGGTATTTTTTTTTTTTTTGGAGAGGATAATTCATTTAATTGGGTTTCAAAGTGTGTATCCCTATCATCAAAATCTTAGAAATAGTCATGTGTTAATGCTGATGTGTCATAACATTTTACATATCTCAGCTTTGACAGTGTCTCTTACAGATAGGTACTGCCAAATACTAATCCAAAGGCAAATGCTTTTGATTGAACATACTTGTCTTTTGGAAGGCACTTATAAAACGCTGTTAGATTTGTGTCTTGATATTTGCCTTGTAGCCCTCTTTTTTGGTAATATAAA